GGTGCGTCAGGTCGGCAAATGGGTGCCTCCGTACCTCTCAGAAGAGAGTCGCCTGCTACTGTCACCTGTCACCTTTTCTCTGGTTGCTGGTTGTTATACAGGGGAGCAGATCGGGCTGCCTTACTCAGCTTCAGCGTGTGGGGGAGTTTTTGGCTGTTTGTCCGCGGGCTGTGGGTCCACTACACACCGCGCCTGGAATCGCTCCCTAACTCTAACTCCTTCTCCGCCTCCCCGATGTTAATAATGTGAATAATGCTTTCAGTTACATCTCTACAATGTAAAACAAGCCTTAAAAGCTATAGCACTGATTAAGAGAGAGTTGCAATCATATAAATCATATACCTATAATGAAAAATGGAACAGCTACGTAGTCTCAAGGAGCAGATGCTACACACCACAGAAAAAAGTAATCTCAGTCATAGGGCTTTAACTCATACAGATAACTTATACTGAGACAGCCTTCAAGGGTACTGTTACCCTCTTCCCACAGACTGGATGTCCAAGTTGTTTGTAAAACAGATCCCGGGCAGCCCAGTATTTTAAAACAAAACTAGCTACAAACACAACTTAAGTTGTCCCTGCTCTTGCACCAGAGCCATCAGCCAAAAACCAGATGCTCTTAAGTAGACTGAGGCGTTTGCAGTGCTCACAAAGCCATGTTCAGCCACAGTAGGAAACAGGAGATGATTATTTGTATCTTTTTCACTCTACATGAGAGATGAGCTGTAATGCTAAAATACACAACACGTTTGGTCTATGCGGTGAAGATGAAGTCACCTACGTGATTAACTTAAAGACCCTGCTCAGCTTCTCTTCCAGCAGATTTAAAATTTTAGACAGTGCTAGAGGATAAAAGAGAGCTTTCCACATTTTCTAAAAGGTGAGACAACATTTTTTAATTCCTAGGACAGTATTCAGACAAGAAAGTATAGGGGGAAGATAAGGAACAAGGTCTTTATCCGTCATCTTCTGTTGACACTTTGCACCACTGTAGAACGAGTTCAAGAATGCCAAGACGACAGCATATGTAACGAAGCATGAACCAGCTCCCAAAACACTATCTGAATAAATCAGGTTTTACAGACAGAGGCTTTACACACAGAGTGTACAGGCATCTGAGGAGAAGAAATTTTAACCAAGGTCTATCCCAAAGAATACCCTCACTATAAAAGACAGTTTTGTGTGTATGCTAGTCCTACTGTTGTCAAATTTTGCCTTCTATGACACCATTCAATCTGCCTCTATTTAAAGATACTGTGTAAATGTAACTGTCCCAAACTAAACAAATAATTCCACCAAATGCGTAGAATCCAGCTCTTTTG